GAAGACAGGGTGAAAATGTACGTAGGGCACGGGGGCACCCCCGTGGGTCAAAACGTAGGCGTGCCTAGTTGTACAAGAATGGAAACATTAAGCTAATAGAATGAAAGTGCTTCAACTGCCTCCTCAACAAAAGATACTACCTGTTCCGGATCTAACTCTGCAGGGAATTCTTCATCATCCAAGCTCAGATCCCCAAGATCAAGTCCTGGGTCTTCCTGAAAGTCACATGGGTCTGGAGTCTCTTCGACACTTGAAGTTTTGGGGCTGCTGGTCCCAGACGCAAAATATGCATGTCTTTTGTCTGGCCGGAAATTTCGATAGGCTGATGCGGTTGTTGCGTAAACGGCACCTGCAACCATGAGATCCTGTGAGGGAGTTGCCCATTCATTATTCAAGCGACTGGGTGTATAGCTTTGAATCATATTAGCCACAAGGTAATTGTGGATGATCTGGACATCAGCTTCAGTGGATGGACTTGTGTGGGAATTACTGTTGCGTGGTGTTTTGAAGTGGGTCTGAACCTGGCGAATGACTTCCCGAAGGGCAAATATTGAAACAGAGACCATCGCAAGCCATTCCCAGCTCCGGTTAGAGCCTTTGGCATTGTAAATAATCTGTGAGAATCCGTGAAAGAATCATAACAGTGATTCTTAAAAAAACAGTACCTTAAGCCAGAAATTTTGATGCTCTTGAAGTAAGTCCATCTCTTTGAAGCCATTTGGCCTGCCCGATAAATTGGCCAACCAATTCATCAAGTAGGCATTGCTGAAACACACAGATTAGTAGTACGTATCATGGAATAGACAAGAATACTTACCGAAGACGAGGGTGCATTGTTTTCAAATCCATAAGAGTGTGAAAAAGAGCATCGGCATACTTTGGCATCTTTCCTGACCCATGAAACATGAGTACCCAGTGTGCAAGGACATTAATCACTGTTCCGATATCCCCTTGTTTGATAGCTGCAGTAAGCACAAGGAGTATAAGAGCGTCACGGTTGAATAAAATGATATTTTCGAGAGGAACGTCACGCGTCTTGAGTTTACGAAGTTTGGTTACCCGCTGAGCTGAAAAAAGTTCCTCGAAAACAGCTTTCGAAACCCGGGAAAGCTCCTCACGGGTCTTAATCTGCGAGGTCCATTTTTTGAGGTCATTACCTGGACAGTACAAACGAAAACCATCAAGGATGTTTGCCAGAAGTGCCAGCTGCAACATGAGCTCCATAATGGGTCGAAATGGCGGCAGCTGCTTGGCTTTCCAACCAGCTGTGATGGGTTTCCAGCCAAGTAAGGTGTTCATTCGCCAGAGAGACCAAGGGGACTTGCTATTCAGGACACCCCAGTGTTCGTTGGCCGTGCATCGACTTCCGGCCACCTTTCCGTGGAAGAGACCAATTTGAGGTTTCATGAACTTTCCAGGGCTATCGACAAGGGAAGTATCTGTTCGTCGAGATGCAGAAGCCTAAGATTCTGTTAGCAAAAAACAAGCTACAGATACAGGATGCATACGGAGTCTGTTAGTGCATTTGTTAGTTGATCACCTACACTGAGAAAGGGCCCATGCTTCTTTATCTCATCTTCAGTGAGACCTAACGTGCGGAAAAATATATGATCGACGATGTCAAGTGTACCATCAATTGTCGATTCATCAATGAGCGTGGCAGGAAGTGGATATTGTTCTGTTTTATGAACTGGGATTGCAAGGACCATGGGGGGAGACAAATCAACGCCTTTCAGACACTGACGAATGTCTGGAAATGTGTTGAGCAGGATGTCTTCGATATGCCAGATCATGGAAGTCTGGAGCTCTGAAACTTGGTCGGCGGTTGGTAGAAGATCGATATGGGGTTGGAAATCATAGACATTCCGTCGAACCTGACGTGATGGCAATACCGAAAGAGGGATGGAACCGTAAGGAACGTTGAAAAGTGGGAGTAGAGTGGCAGTCGTTCCGTTATCGAAATGATTCTTCGCGGCTTGTCGCTGCTCATTCACGCGAAAGGCAATGTTGATGTTGTCCCAAATGACCATACACACCTTCTCGCGGACCAAGGACCAGATGCACTGTAGCCGTTCTTTCCCCATGAGTTTGATCTTGTCCATCGCGGATGAGTACGAGAGAGAGAAGCCAGCGTGATTGAGTACGTTGAAAAGCGAGCGAGACGCTCCACTTGCGAGGAGGTAAATGGCTGTTACAAGCTGAAATTCACTTGCCTTTTCGTTCTTTGTTTGGGCAATGATACACATAACAGTGCTAAGAACCTAAATAATGTCAGAACCAACTGAGACGAAGGAAGAAAAAAGTGCTTACAACATCCTTTTTCTTGTGTCGCTCAAGCGTCGCATCAGCGGAATACCCGTTCAGATCGCAAAGAAAAGAAAAGAAATTTGGTGCAGCGGTTCGAGCGTCAGTCAAGAGGTTGGCGAGGGAAAAGTCCTCAAGAGTGTTTGTGATGTTCCTGTCCCGGTTTGGCTACAGTACACTGCCGAGTTGAACTCCTTCTTCGACAAGCAGGGTCTTCAACCTAGCAGCCATCCAAGCATCTGTTGCTGCAGGTTGACACTGGTGAATGGACTCGATGATATGGATGCCGTGATGAGAAAGCATTTGGGTGACCTGAGATGAAAGCTGTCGGTCGTTGGTGGCAGGAGTTCGGATAGATACGCATAGAGCGTCGGATAGCCTGCTGCAGTCCGAGCGTGTTCCATCTGCCTCAACCGCTCAGTTGTCTGCCTCTCCTTCTCTTCTTCAGCCTCCCTCAACCTAAGCTCCTCCTCTTGAGCCCTCTCCTTTTGTTTTTCGATCCAAGATTGACATGCTTCATTGAGTTGGGCAGGTGTAACATCCTTGAGAACCTGCCGCCACACTCGTTTGACAGTTGATATTGGTGGTGTAGTGTACGGAATGAAGGTGCTGGCAGGTGGGGAATTTTCATCAGGAACAGATCTTTTTCGAGGAGTAGACATTACGGAAAGGTTAGAGGTGGTAAATTCATGTATATTCGCATAGATAATCGTTGAAATGAGGCCTACACGTTGAGATCACATTGTCCCAAAACAGATAATTGGACTTTGAAATTCCTGTGTACTCCTTCATGGTTAAGTTGTACCAGCCATTCTGGTGGCTAATTCCATCCCACACATCACATAT